TATATATATATATATATAAATAATTTTTTATGAAAATCTTTTTTTTTTTTTTTTATCATTTCACACGAACTTACTGCATTTTCTTATCTTTGTATCAGAACATTCAGGTAAGAAAACATCTGAAATTCTCTTCATAATTTCACATTTGTTCCATTGCAGATAAAATTTTTACAGTTGGTTTCTGAACTGGAAATTTAACAAAATATTTTCTGTTTCTCTGTAAGTAGTGATTAGTATTTCTTATAATTTACTTAAAATATTTCTAATAATTGCTGAAAACCCTTTAAAGTCATCTTTAAACTGCTATTTTAAATTCTTAGTCAGAAAAATGTGCACAACCTGCACAAAAAATCATTTAAGATTCATTCCACAATCGAGAATAACAAACATTACAGAGGGGTAAACTAATTTGGTCAATATCCTGGCCACTGACCAGATGAGAGTGCTTTAAAAATAGCATGCAGAAAATCCAATACTAATACTGATTTACATCTAAAGACAAGTTGGTGGAACTGTATTTACACGTAAATTAATGACAAGTTATTAACTGCATAAATCTAGTGATTTCTTTGTAAAAAGTATCCAGGTCATGTTGCATATTTTACTTGGAAAAATCTCCAGCCCCAAAGCAATTTGACAGCACATTTTGACATTATATTCTATTATGGTTATTTCATTCATCATCTTAGTTGGTATTGTTTGTTTGTTTTTACATTGACATTACTTTCTTTGACAAAATAATTCCAAATTTATCATAATAAAAATGCAAATTGAACCAGAAAAATAAATTATCATGTTTTAAACAATCATAACATCCATCTATGCTATAAATACATAAAAACAAAACATAAGCTTCTGATAAAATACATGTACTAACCTTTTATACACAAATAACGTTCCTTCTATACCCATTCTTTCCTGCAATAAAATGTTTTTCTTTAGCTATTTTTATTTTTTCCAACTGTTATACTCACAGGACACTAAATTCATATAAATATTGTACTTAAGATGTGAACTAAAACATGCAGAAGGCATGTTTTATCCATCAGTAAATAAAGATAAATATTTCAGTTTAGAAAAGAATCATGGTTTATCAGTAAATACAGTTAAATACTGCAACAGAAGAACAATGCAAAGTTAACGCCCTGTAAATGAAGTTAAATATTTCCCGTCATGAAAGTCCTATGAAATTAAAACCCAACACTAGTAAGCTTGAAGTAGAAGTTTAAATTCTATTCAGGCCTAATTTTTAACATCATGTAAAACCAGAAGTGTTTTTTTTTTTGTAATAATCAGTCAAAGGAATGTTAAACAAAAATTTCCAAAAAAACACAAAAACTGTTGCTCAACTAGACAGCCAACATTTCATTGAAATGTTTTAAAATAGTATGTGTTTTGAAGTAACCACTCTGATAAGATGGTTTGTGCACGGTAATTATATCTTGAACTATTTCAACATTGTTGTTGTGTAAAATTATAGTGAACTTAAAGCTATTCTGATAAAGTGAGAAGGAGGGAGGTTGAGTGTTGATCCTCACAAGTCAAACTGTTAACTTTTGGTTTTAGCATTAATTAAAAACATTAGAGAATTTAGTATTTGTCTGAAAGTCATGAACTTGTTCAGAGTTGAATTAGTAAAGATTAAAATATCTAACCTATATAAAAGCCAGTGTGCATCACATCACACTTGATTTCTTGAAGTAGAAGTCATAAAAGCCAAAATGCATTTATCCAGATAGAATAGTTTAATTACTGTGTGCCCATTTTGATTTTAGTGACAGGTGTGCAAAGGGGCCATTAGAAGGGGGTAGGGATGAAACCTTACAAGTGTAGCGTGTGTTGGTATATAAGCCTAAAGTAAAGACTTAGTGTGGGATCACCTAACCAAGAGTCAAGTGCATAAAATTTATTATGAAAGTAAAAATATTGATTCAATTTTAAACTTAAATAATTTCTGAATTAAACTATTCTCTGTTATATCACAAACGTTTTTACTAAAAAAACAAACCTCTTTAATCAATGGAGACTCTAAGTTAAGAAATCAACAAATATTTTCCAGTTTTGTTGTCTATACATTTCATTTTATACTTTCAGTACATAGACTAACAATATTAGGTTATACTTTTGTTGCTGAGCAATGTGACATAAAAGCCATTGTTGGAAGGTAGTGTTACCAAAATGCACTGACTTTTTTATATATATTAGAAGATGATAATTAACTGATTTTTGCCAATAATTATTCTATGAATACACCACAAATTCATTTTAGGACTGATCTTAATTTTGATTGGCTCACAAAGGAATTTACCAACATTTGACTGCCTTGACTGCACTTTTTAACCTCTTTGTTGGTCAAGCTTGATTTCACAAAACTTATCTATTTCAGTTAGCTATGAAATGTGAGTTTAGGGTATAATATGGGGTGAGGGTGGTAGTACTTGCCCCCATCATTTTTGATGGAATATATGCTAGTCTCCAAATAAATACATGCAAGTTCACTCTTCTGATTGGTGTGTTGAATTCAGATGAATGACAATTCTTTAACACTAATGGTTAACTAGCAGTGGACCTGTCAAACCAATGACACCACAAACAGCTCATTGTGTTCCTCTTAGAACTTTGTAGTTGTATATTGCTCAACCAGTAGAATATATTTCATGGGTTATTAACCTACTCTTAATGCAAAGAAGAAACTTGATCACTTTATCTCTCAATGTTTTCTTTGCATAAGGTAATAAGAAAAAATCCCTCATCAGTAAAATGAGAAATATGACATTAAGATTATCTTTCAACTGTTAATTACCAATACATTTTGTTCAAAGACCTGCGACAATTCATGGTTCTATTAACTTGTTTAAATAGAATTCAAAAGCACTATACTGAAGTGTACTATTAATTAACATATTTAGTACAAAGGATGTAACACTAATAAACAGCAACATTATATATATATATATTACAACTTTATCTCCATTAAGCATCAACGTAGCAGTAGCAATTAGCAATCATGTAACTGTCATTACTTACAACTTTAAACACTGCATTATTTTAAAAAAAAGAAAAGAGAACTATAAGATGAATTTTAGTGAATTACTCTTTTCAAATTTGTTAATGAGAAGGAAAGTTATGATTCAATAAAAGTATAATGTATAATGGCCAAGCACTTACCATGAAATTAAAATTAGAAACCCACAAATTATATTTTACTGGTTGGACTCGCAAAACAGGGATGTGTTGTAAATTATAAGTGCAAGCTGTTTCTGTCAAGAATTTGATTTACAAATAACATTGAACAAAATAATATATCTAAAGTTGTACTACTACTACAGAAATTATAGAGGTCAGTCAAATAAGAATCAAGCTCGATTTTCACCCACACGATTTAATCCTCTCTTTGTTAAATGTTTTATTAATTTCAGTTCTACACAAGAATCGAAATACAGTGGCTTGTCCAATGACAAAATTTAAACTCTGAATCTATTTGTATTCCTTTTTTTTTCTTCTGAATCTGTTCAAAACTGATAAAAAACAAATGATCTAATCAAAATTTGTGTAAGGTATACAGAAATATTCTGCTGAAATTATAAGTAAAATATAAAAATTGTAAAAAAACATAGCCTATAACTATACTGTGTCTATAGTATAAATTATAAGTGACAAGTTGCATGTGCAACCTATCGACACAAACAAAAAGAGTATACTCACCCATTCCTTTGACTTTGGATTAAACTTATAAAGAGATACTTGTGTTGCACTGTCAAGAATTTCAATAATACGATTATCTATTTTCTGTAGCCTTTCTAAATTTATGCCTTGTTCCATCATAATCGCTACTTTAAAATCTCTTCAAAAACTGGCCTAATAAGACTAATGCCGAAACATTAAATAATCAACAACTGTGACATTTACCCTGGTGTCAAGTCCAAATTTCAAAACAGAAATGAAATTTTAGTGTTAATACTAACTAACAGTAACACTGATGTACAATATAACCTAGGCTATAACTTATAAGTATAAATACTCTCATCTGGCGTGTTTAATAACATATCCTTTTATTTACCCAAAAACAAGAGATTTAAAATCCTTCGATATTTTATATATACTTTTTACTGAAAATAAACTGAGTTCACTGCGTAGACACACATAAAACGTAAAATTGCAATTACAGAGGTCAGCACTAGTTAATTATGAACTTAAATTTAATAAGTTAGTACTTGTAATTCAAGTTCGATGACGAGGAACCCACTTTGAGATTAATAACGGTTGGAGACAGCTTGAATGGTAATGAAGGAAAACTTTAATATAAGTTTAAC